AGAACCCGTGTACTATACCTGCTGTCGTCCTTTTCGCTCTAATATTCGCTTGTGTTTACGAGTTACTGATAGAACGATAAGGACGCTTTCTCTCGCTGTTTCGCTCGCTCTCGCGCAGCGGCGAAGTCGGCCGATTCGCTGCCAGTAGATGTCTGCTTGGTTGGGGTAAAAGTGGTGGGGCGGGTTTTCCATGTTGCCGGGGGCCAAATGTGCATCACTGACTATGCCATACATACTTTGGTTCTGCAATTTATTGAGATATTCTAATAAAGGATCCAATCCTGCGTTCTTTCCGTCTTGGAAGAGACTGAAGGAATAACAACCCTGGGCTCGGTTTTCGCCCTGTTTATATAGGCGTCAGTCTGTGGGAAGGGGGAGCGCAATTTTCCCAGAATTGGACGTACGTGACAAAAACCATGATAAAAATACAAGGGTATGCTCATCAATTGTCTAAAACTCGTTCAGCTTGCGCATGTCCTTGCCTACGTCATATTCGGGTACGCGTTGATTGGTCGGTTCTGATTCGGGTGCAATCGGTGGTTATCGGTCGTAATTTATCATGGCGTCCATGGCGTAGTGCACGTTGTCATCGGTAGAAGTTAATGTTAAAAATATTTTCACGATGACCTGCATAGTGAAAGGATGCGGCAATTATATGAAAAAAACAAAAAAAACTGAGGGAAGTAAAATTAAATATTTTACCTTTCCAAAACAATCTGAAATTGCTGAACAGTGGCGTAAGCCACTCGTTGTGACGTAAGCAAGGACAAAAATCTGATTGGTCATGCGCATGAGCATACCCTTGTCTTTTTATCATGACAAAAACGAAAAATTGGCTTTTCTTCCTGAAATATTATTCGTACCGGTTTAAAACTTCGCATTTAGGCGAACTTAATTTAAAACTAAGAGATCGAGTTATTTCTGCATTAATTAGCAGAATTTTTAAGTTATTAATGAATTAACTATAGGGGCTTTCTCCGCGGTCCGCGCTGTTTTCTCCGTGGTCCGCGCTATGCTCTCTCCGTCGTCCGCGCTGCTCCCTCCCGACTCCGTTGGTCGGTACTCGCTAACGCGACTAATTAGCATTTCTCATTCGTTTCGGATTAATTAAGGTGGTCACGGTGACCAAAAGACAACAACTATTAAGTTGTAATTAAAGGAATGTATTAACGCAATAAGAGACCTCAAAATTAACCATATTCCTGGTCAGAGCGACCGAAATCCCATTGTGAGTTCGGAACGACGAGTGACACGCGCACCGCGAGCTGTGATTGGTGCGTGATAACTTATTCCTATTTTGGAGAATTATAGGCGTTAAGGCGTTTGGAGTAAGTTAATTTTCTCTAAATCCGCGCAGGACGTAATAACATGACAGTCATAGCGTACGAAAATGATTTCTTTATTATGAAGAAAAAGAACATAAAACCACAGCACAGATTGTTAAATGTGATATTTAATCTATTTAATTTTAAGAAATTAGACGTTTCGGCCACACACAATATCTGGCCATCTTCAGTAATTACAAATTCAGTCGACGCATAGGGTACATAAATATAAAATTCGCAGTCATATATCTATTTAGTCAACATTCCAAACTATTATCATTATCATGCGTGCGTATATGTTCCGTAGTAGATGAGGTTTATTTAAATTGTTTCGAATTGTGCATCAAGAGAATTTCCAGAATCTAATATAAAAAATTGTAATAAAATTAATATCTTATGAATTGATTATTAAGAAATTAACTACATTACTTGTTTTTATCGCAATTCGTTAATATTTATAATTCATCGTAGGCACTTTGACAAACAAATTGGAATATCATCTTGAAAATATAGATATAGAGTGTATCGTGTTCTGTTGTGTGTCGAATATACACATGCGCGGCGATTTCGCGAATGATTTCTTTACTCCACGCGGAGTTATTCGGCCTAGCATTTCGTCGCAATGCATCGGTACACGGCACGCGCCTTACGGGCGCTCCGAGTGGCTCACGCGGTACGCGATGGAATCACACGTCGCCGAGTAAGATTTCCGAATTTCACAATTTTTATAATAAAAATATTTTAGATAGACGATGTAAGATACAAAAATAATTCAGCGCAAAATGGAAAGATTAAATAACAAAAATATTCGTAAAAAAAACAGAATTATATTCTCGCGGAGGACAGGACGTAACAGTGCTATTTCAAAAAGTGAACATACATCAAGTGTATTCTCAAAAATTGAAACTTTGAACAATTTCAATGATTATCTAATAATTACCATAAGTAACTGATATATTATTCAAGGTCCTAGTTCAAAGTGAACATACATAAAGCGTATTCTCAAAAATGTAAACCTTTAAAAATTTAAATGATTATCTGATAATACACAGGGCCGTAGAGAAAAAAACAGGGTCCGGGAGAAGAAAATTACGGGCCCCTATTTTGCGCAGGTAATATCTCAAACCAGGAGCGGCAGATTTAGAATTTTTAATCTAATGTAAGGAAAGAATGCAGGGAAGGAAAGACTAACTAAATATCTTCAATATGCTTACAAGATTTTTCATTTTCTATTTTATTTTATAGATTTGTCAGATATTTGCAAGAACACATTTTTTGCAAGAAAAAAATATAACACGTGTTATATTATTTTCTATATACGTATGTTATGAAATTAAGCTTAGGCTAAATGCGCTTTCCGTGCTTTGGCCGATTCAAAAGCGTTAATTAATATTTTAAAATCTAACTGCCTTGCCAATGCCGATTCTAGGCAAAAAGTGCCTAATCCTGTTACACGCGTTTGTGTAGAACAGGAGCGATGAAAGTTTTTAATCCTAGACAGCACGTTAAAAGAACGCTCACCACTAGCAACTGGAAGAGTACAAAATATTCGTAAAGCTACACAAATATTTGAAAACAGTGTTTCTAGTGTTATGTCCCGAGCGCGAGTTTCCAGCGGTCTCGAGACGCGACACGAGTTGCGGGAACGCGAGCGCGGAGCGGGGCGCGCGGGGCGAAGCCTTAGCTTCTACGCAGTGTTTTGACGCGTTTTTCCCTTGTTTGGGAATAGGCAGCTGTCACCAGTGCTCGGAAATGAGCACGAAATTCGGAGATAATGTATTTAATTCTAAGAAGTTACTTGAGTTTAAAGTAGTTAGCCTTCCAGGTTCTTCTAATAAAATAAAATGGAGAGTTTAGAGGATGCGTCAGTTGACTTCATTTCGCATCTCTATCTACACTCTCCTGTATGTTTGAGAAGGACTTGGAAGGATTTGAGAAGGCCTTAAGGGCAGATAAATGAAAATAGAAATATTTTAGATTATATAATTTTTATATTGATAGTACACGGTGTGTTGGAACTTATTCGAGGTTTGTTTGTTATAATTATGAGTCTCGTAGGCTTGCGCACGGGCGCAATATGAGGCGGAGACTGCGGAGGCCTAGGTCGCGGCTGCGGGGTTGTAACGACCGTTTTTGGAACCTCGGGAGTGAGGACCGCGTCTGATGTGTTCGCGATTTCGCGCGACGCGGTTGGCGCGTCGGCGATAGGCTCGTTAATCTCCCCACCGTTATCTTCCCAATGGCGGGAAGGGTCGAAGGTCCCCTCCGTGAAGAGTTCCCGCTGGAGCCTCTTAAGATGGGTGCGCCACCCTCCTCGCTTGCCGCGTGGACGCTTTTTCTGCGGCATCTGTGCCCAGAAAGAACGTTTGGTGAGTACGGCAGATCGGAAAGAGAGAGGGAGTGCGGAGGCCTCGCGCCGTGGAAAGGCGCTCGTTTGGAGTTTTCACAGGGAGGTGATTTCGGCGTCGCCGTGGTTAGTGCTGCTGAAATCGGGCGAGGAGTTAGCCCGTCAGACGCCGTGGTTGGCGCACGATCGGGGCTGGATTTCGGTAGGAATTACGGAAGATCCGGAGCGCTAGTGAAAGCGCTAGGAGTCCTTACCGTTCTGGTTTTCCAGAAAGGAATAAGGCAATTTGTCTGTAAATCGTCCCGCTTTATATATATTTTGTATCGTGACTCCTCGCGGTAAGGGGGTGTTTTCGCACACGTGCTGTTGCGAAATTCTCTCGAATATTCTAATTCTTCTATCGCGATTTATTTGATTACTGTGTGTCTTTTTGCCTTTTCGGTCGTTCTCATGTTTAGCGGGATTCGCAATATTCCTAGGGGGTGCTCTTGGTTGGCGCGTGATGCACTCGGTCGCGGCGTAGCGAGCGTGCATCCTTTGCGCGTTTTTTCATTCCGCTTTTCCGCGTATTTTCAGTTCTTTCTTCCGAAGCGCTCGCGAGTCTCCTTTGTTTGTTTAAGGCTCTTATTTCGTTATTCGTGCCCTTATTTAAATTGTAATAGCTTTTATTTGTTTCCTGAGGCCTTCGTGATCGATGCGTGTGTTTCGCGTTGCATCTCTATGCATTTTATGAGTGATCGCGCGTTTTTACTTGTTCTTGGTGGATCGGCGCTATTTCCTCGTGATTACTTGGTTATTAGTTATGATGTTCGTTATTTCCCGTCTTTTGGCGGTGCTATCTACGTGCTCTAGTGCATTTTTCTATTAGTTTTTCTATTTTATAAGTCGCGCAGGCGCTGTGTGCGCGGCGTTCGTTGGCAACGGCTGCGGTAGCATGTCCTATAGGCTTTCGCGGCACGTATTGTATTATTCGCTATACTCTGTGCTCGTGTTCGCTTGGTAAATGGCCGGGGTGCTATAATGTAGCGCACCGGACGTTACACTAGCTTATTAGAAGTAATAGCGTTTAATAAATCAAACGGAGAGAAACCGGCTTCAAAGTTTGCTTCATAGATGTGTTTTAGATGGATTATTTCATCTATTAATTCTTTAGACACATCAACAGCGTATTTCTTAACAAAATTGATAATGTCGATCCGAATGTCCTCTTCATCTAATGTTGTAAATTTCCATAAAAAAGAAAACGTGTTATTCAAATCATTCATTGCAATGTAACGATTAGAAATTCCTGCAATAACTGAATCTACAATTACATAAAAAGTATTTATTTAAAAATCGGTTTCTTCGTCAGTAATAGTTGTACTGGTGGAATCTTTATTCTCACTTTCGGAAAATGTCTTAGCTCGTTTATTTTTTCTTCTACTCATAGACAATGTTGAAGTACCCTTTAAACCACTTGTGACTAGTTTACGTTCGCGTAAAATGGCATTCCATTGATTTCGTATTAGCTGCATATCCAAAAATAAACTCTCAAGATTTTCAACTTCGACGTCGATTGTAGCATTTCTAGTCTGTAGAACGGTGCTTTTTTCATTGATTGCATTTAGAATTTTTGACCATATAGATGCCATCAAAATACATTCAAATTTACTAATGTATTTTTGGATTCCATCAACATCGCTACGAGTTTCCGCGGTCAAATTGAGTGTTTTCAAGTCTTCTAACGCACTTTGAAGATGATTTGCAAAAGGTTTCACAGCGTCAATTTTGGCGGACCATCGCATCTCGGATAAACTGTGAAGTGAAGATTCAATTTTATTTTTTAAAATCTCCCAACGTTGCGGACTGCTGCTGAAAATAGCGTAGCACTTTTGAACGACTCCGAAAAACGTGATGGCTTTGGAACAATACTCGGCAGAATCTACTCCACATAGATTCAAACTGTGGCCGGAACAGGGTGAATAAACAGCAAGCGAATTATCTCGAATAATGTAGCTTTGTGCTCCTTTATAATCACTTTTCATATTGCTACCATTATCGTAACCTTGTCCGCGGCATTCAGTCAAAGGAATGTTGTTTTTTTAAAGTGTCATGTATCAAATCAGCAATAGCAGCACCAGTTTTCTCTTTACAATCATCAAACTCTAAAAAGCGTTCTTCAATCGTATACTTTTTTCCTTCTGGATTTAAAAATAGCGTAAAATGAAAGTAGTTTGTTCAACGTGAGCGGAATCGGGTGTGACGTCTACAATTAAAGAATAATATTTTGCCTTTTCTCGTTCTTTTAATATGGCCGATACCACATGACGAGCACAGAGATCTATAAATTCGTTTTGTATGTCCGGCGAAAGATAGTGGCATTGCGGACGCTGGTGTAGCTGTTGGGACGTCTTCACTTTTTCCAAATGCTCGCGTAATACCGGATCGTAGTGGCTAATCAACTCTAAAATTCCCAAAAAATTTCCGTTGTTTCGTTTTCCAATAAGATGGACTTTCCCCTCTCAGTGCTAAACATGATTTTTCCCAGAAACAAAATTGTATCTAAAATACGTGTTAAAATTTCTTGCCATTTCTTAACTTCACCCTTGATTTGTTCACACAACAGCTTGTCAATTGAAGATTCATTTCGGATACTCATTTCCATCCCACGCCACTTCACATAACACTGAATGTGATCTTTATTATTCTCATGTGATTGCAGTCTTTCGTACAATTTTTTCCACACCAGGTTTTTCGAATATCCGCCCGGAGAACAAAGATAAGAACGATTCATTGTATTTATAGTAAATAACCGACATGGAAGGCAAAAGAAAGCACTCTTACTGCGGTTCCAAATTAACCAATTGCGTTCCACCTTTTCACCATTAGGCAAGTTTTTGAACAGCAGCGATACGGGAAACCGTTCGTTCGACTGATCGAGGAAAGACAGAAGGCATTTTTTCATGACCTCTGCGAATCACTTTATCAACCAATTGTGGAAGTAAAAAATCAGTGTCTACAGTATCAATGTCATAGTCGTAAAGATGCATAGTCAAGTGAAATTGGGACGTTGATTGCACTTCTGATTCGCGTTCTGTAGACTTTTGAATCATTGCAGCAAAATTTACATCAATTTCTACAGGCAGATTTTCCTTTTCCTGCACCAGATCAGACGAAACAAAAGTAACAAACTGTTCAGCTTGGTTACAATCACATTCAGTTATCATGGACGAAGAAGCACGGAAATGATTGACTACCTTGCCTTTCAGTCGAATCATGACTTTGATTTATACTGGCATCTGAACTTTTCTTAGGGTGAAAATTAAAATCAGTAAGAGAGCTGCCTGTCTTCTTTCTGCAATTAAAGTTCTTTGTTCGCGATCTGTGCGTTCTTTTCGCTTTTGCGAACCAGATTTGTGATGATAGGACATTTCTATATTTTATTTACCTAAAAATCAACAATAATAATTATAATAATAGTAGCATTGCAAAAAAAGAATTAAAAAATCCGAAACAAAAATATGAATAAAGCCACATTACCTGTTAAGACTTGTGTGTTAAGACTTGAGAAAACAAGCACAGAAACGCAGCACCGCAGTTATCAACGCTATGGAGAGATGAGCGCAGTGGTAATAAAACATGACACGTAGAAACAAACGCGTATCTAGATACAATTTTTCGACGTTCGCTTATAAATACGGAAATACGGAACTGTGCCCAGGTAGCAAAATAATCTTTAAAAAGCTAACTCTTGCAGCCATATGATTCCGCTGCTACAACTTATCTACTTGTATTCATTCTTGCAAATCGTTTTGGTCTGTTTATTATATAAATAATTTTTAATAATTTTTAGTAATTATATAAATAATTTTTAGAACTTGTATAACATTGTACATTTTTTATTTTACAGGAATTAAAATAATGCTTATTAATATCAAATTATTAAATTGCTTATCAATTTAATTTGTGATATTACGTACTTCGAATTCAGTTTAAAACTGTATTTCAAGACAATCAAGATCGACAATCATTCGGCGCGCAGTTTTCATGAGCTGGAAATTGTAAAATTCGTATAAATATTATCATTACAATGAAAAGGTCAGGCCATGTTCAAAAACGTAAGCAGATCATCAAAAATGTAGATCATTAAAAATTGAAATGATTATTTAATATCTATTACCATGAAAAGTAACTGATGTATTATTCAAGGTTC